GTGGGAGAAATCGATATATGAATTGAAAATCGAAAGAAGAAATTCGATGACCATGTGTTGAGGAAAATAAAAAATCTGAATCGAAAATGGATAGGAGAAATTCGATGACAATGTGTTAGGAAAAATCGAGAATCTGAATCAAAAATGGATAGGAGAAATTTGATGACCATGTGTTATGGAAAATCGAGAATCTGAATCGAAAATGGATAGGAGAAATTCGATGAACATGATTGGGAGTAAAAAATCGATAATAAGTATTGAGTGTGAAGTTAAGTTTGAGGGAAGTCAGAAGCAGTTCAAAGTACTCGATGACTGAGGTCGAGATCGAGGGAACAATTATCATGCACATGGGAACATGGGTAGCAGTTTCTAAACCGTGGCTGAGGTAGAGATCGAGGGAACAGTTAGCGTGTACATGGGAACATGGGTAGCGGTTTCTAAACCGTGGCTGAGGTCGAGATCGAGGGAGCAGTTATCTCGTGCATGGGAACATGGGGTAGCATGAAGAAGGAAGGGAAATTTCAGAGGTATCAGAAATCTAGTGTACAAGTCTACTGAAGAACGACAAATCATGGAGTTTCTGGCAATCTGGATTTCCACTTTTATTGACTTTTGTTACCGCTTTCTGTATTTTCCCTGGTAATTTATCTTTAATGCAATTTAAATTCATCTGTCTGTACTTTCCATTTATTTCAATTCTTTGTCATCTACTCTTGTGCAATTTAAGATTATGCATTACTTTTCGTCTCGATATCTTTTACCAATTCTTTGTCATTTACTCTTATGCAATTTAAAATTCCGCATTCGTCTCAATATCTTTTAACGTTTTTCTTTACTTTTCCGGTAATTTATCTACTTGCAAGTTAAATTTACTTTCCTGTACTTTCCAGTTATTTCAATTACTTGGTCATTTACTCTTGTGCAATTTAACTTTATGTATTACTTTTTTGCTTCAACACCTTTTTACGGCTTTCTTTACTTTTGCTGATTTTCATATTCTCGAGTCTCTTAATAAAAAAAAAATACAAAAAAAGAACTTTCGATTTCAGCTTGTACGCTTTTTAATACTTTCAATTTTCATACATTTTTTATTAAAAAACTGTTTGCTAGCCTAAATAAAAAGAACTTACGGTGACTGAAATTTGGTTAGAACTTAATCTTTAGGAAATTGAAACAACTAAAAATTTCACCAAAAATAAAAAATATATCACTTAAGTAACTCGTGGTTGCTCAAGCGAAATACAAATAGAAAAAATAGAGTTTATCACTTAAGTGATCATTCATCACTGAAAAGACTTATATACAAAATGTTAGAATTACTTTTAAAGAGCACATCACTCAAGCATTACACTTGATGAGTGAGTGTTGTAGTTAATACTCTACGACAATCTACTGTAGAAAAACAAAATCAAATAAAGTTATTTTGTAAGTATATTTGTTAAATAATTAACAAGATGAATATTCAAGGAATACTCATTTGTTATGAGAATTATTTTAAATGTTCAAAAGTAATATAATGATATATATTTAATAAATGGGATGCAATATTGTTGATGTGAGATTATGTGTAGTAGTATGAAAAGTGGATGGTAGTTACAAAAGAGGTATCATTAAGTTATGACAAATAATGTGTGTTAGATTGACAAATTTAATGAGATATTCAAGTTTTACATATAATTTTAAATCACATTGATTAAAGAATGAGGTGATGAGCGGTTAAAAGAAGTTTTTGTCACCTATTCAAATATGTATTCATCTATAATAACAACGATGACTAGAACTAAGTTACATGTGAAAACTATTGTAATGGTACTAATATTAGAGTATAATACAGTGTGTCAATTATGAGATACATTATATATACTAGTTTTTAAGTTTAAAACTTAATACAAATATTCTAAATTTTTTATATATATTAATATATTATTGATATAATATGATTGCTTCCTAGTAGATAGAATTTATTTGTCTAATTGTAAAATTCCAATTGTTTGAGAATGTATTATGATACAATTCTAATACATATTAAATATATAGAATGTATATGCAAGAATATATCCATAATATTATTTATTATAAGATTTCTAGGTCATTAAACAACTTTACTAATATTTGATTATGGTTTAATAATGCATTTTATTCCTGTAAAATTTCTTAAGTTCTTTTTCACTTAATTATGTCCTTTTTAAGTAAAAAACTATTGAACAAATGTGCGGTTGCGCTGCATTTTCCTCTGCATAAAACCATTTAATTATTCATTTTCTTTCACAGAATTTGAAAATTGATAATGCGTTTCAACTACGAAATAAATTTTTTAATATTTAAATTAAAAAATCAATAAACTTTACAACATTTACAGGATCTAAAATTAAGATCTATGTAGAAAGCAAACTTTGACTTTTTATTGTACGTTGCGTGATGGAATTAATTTGATATTTCGCTCAAGCGTTCAGGGAAAAAAGTTTGACAGAATTTATTTGACTTAAAATGTTGAACATTCTAAGTAGAAAATGACTATTTATAGTAATTTAGGAAAAAGAAAATCAATCCACTTATTAACGTTACTTCATTCGAAGAATATAGAGATTTAATTATTTGAAAATCACTTAAAATACAGGGTCTACATTACAGAGAAATCAAAATCACTTATAAATTTCTTCATTGATGAGAACCTTCAATTTACTGACTAAATAAATTAATAAATTTTATCATTTTATGAAAAAAAAAACAAAATTATATATATATTTTCCAATACTAGTCAATTATATAGTTAGCTTTAATGCTGACGTCATTGAATATTTGGTCAACGGTGGTGAATAGTTCTGTTGCCATGCGCACCTAACTTTTCTCTAAGATTAGATAATCCAAATTGCCTTATAAATATTAATTGATACGATTCAAAGTGAATATTCACGAGTCTCAAGTTGAAAAATTGAGTATGAATTTGAATTGATTTCAAATGAAGTAATATTATAATATTTATGTTGAATAACAAAGTTATTACAACAAAATTTTCAAAACATAAATCACTATTACAATATTAAACTTTAACTAAGATTAACTTAATAAAAAAAAACAATTTTTTAAAACGTTGATTCAAACACATACCTAATCCGATACGGATATTACAAAGTTATATTTTAATTTTTTGAAAATTCATTGTTTGAATATTTTTACTCAACTCACTAAAGTAAACTTAGTGATGAAATGGTTGAATATTTATATACGAAGTGTCACTATTATTATAAAAAATAGAAAATTTTAATCGGCAGGTGTTTGTATTATTGGTTTGGCAAATTTTTTAAAATTTTATAAATTTATTATTATGGACGCTAATATTGGGATTAAGAATGAAGAATGTTTTAGTCTCTATATATTATAATAATATTTGTGGTGAATTAAGAAAAAAATATGGAAATTATTCTTCCATTTAACTTCTAAAAAATAATGGGACTTATTGAACGTTCCAATAATTAACATTTTAGATAATAATAGAAAAAAACATAATTTAACACACCAACTTTTCAAAAACGAAAATATTATCTTGAAATGACTTTACACGACTATTAATTCGATTTGTTGGAAAATAAGAGCACGTGAACGTTAAAGTTTGAACTTAACAATTTGGAAAGTCGAGGAATATATAGTAAAAGAGTTTATCTCGATTAAATTATAATTTCGTAGAGAAACCGCCTCCTATGTGGCTGTCTATTTTGACTATTAATAATTTATTATTATATAAAATGAATGATGGGGATGTTATAATAATAAAATTAATCTGTAATGATGAATTGAGGGTAGGTCGAGCTCTTAGCCCATCTACTTCGTTTCCTTCATCTACTTCGTTATGAACATAATGGCAAATTAGCCCTACATGTGCTTCTGGTGGTGTTCTTATTTTTTATGATTTTTTAGTCATGGTGTTCTGTACATGGTCCAACTTGTAGACTCGTCTATCATTTTTTTTTTTATATTTTTATATTCTTCCTAGCAGAACTTTTTAGTTATTGAATAAAAAAATTCAATGTATATATATATATATATATATATATATATATATATATATATATATATATATTATATATATATATATATATATATATATATATATATATATATATGAACTCATTCAATGAAATAAAAGTAAAAACATATAATAAGGTTTTATTATCACCGTACCATACGAAAAGTAATTAATATTATTCGATATAAAAAATAGTGATTTGTGTCTATTAAACAAAAAGAAAGTTATTGAAAATTCATCTTCTTAAAATAAATAAAAACGTAAATATTATAATCCTATATTTATTAACTTCTGAAGTGAATTTCAAATCAACCCTGTTAAGATTATTTAAAAGAGTGAAAGTTTTCAAATTCAATGTATAATAAAATGATATTAATTATTTAATTTCAAGTGGGAGATAAAAATGCACTTTGTCCCATCCATGGAATACTTTTAACTTTGTTGTTGATAAAATGGCAAGACTCAAGCAAGAGCACCATTTGTTAGGTTGGTTAGTCCTATGGCAAGTGATCCGAAGCGAAGTTGCCCAGAAGCACTCGAGTTGGCACAACATTTTTTGACTCAACCTATCTATCACTTTCTCAGTTACATGTATCAACCCAACATGATATAAAAAAATCACAGCAGGATATTTTAGACCGGAGATGTAGTAGGTGGTATAAAGACTTTTCTGGGTTTCCTTAAAATAAAAAAATTCAATCTACTACACTATTACATTTTGTTAAATAATAAAAGTATGTATTCAATTCCTGGTCTAATCTCGAATAAAACAAAACAATCGGAATAAAAAAATCTAGAAGGCCCACAAACATACAGGAAAAATATATATCCGACACAAGAAATGTTCCCATAAGGTGTCAATCAGATGCTATATAAGGGAAGCGTGGCAAGGTTGTTTCCTCAGGCCAAAATCTTGGTTAACTAGCTTCAAACTCGGGATCACAGAAACGAAGGTCAAACAAACACATACACCATCATGTTGCTCGAACTTACCATTGGTTTGTTGGTGCTAGCTTTGTTTCTGCACTTGCGTCCCACACCAACTGCTAAATCAAAGGCCCTTCGCCACCTTCCAAACCCTCCTAGTCCAAAGCCTCGTCTTCCATTTATTGGTCACCTTCACCTTCTAAAGGACAAACTTCTCCACCATGCCCTCATCGATCTATCCGAACGCTATGGTCCTTTGTACTCTCTGTACTTCGGGTCTATGCCAACCGTTGTTGCCTCCACCCCTGAGTTGTTCAAACTCTTCCTTCAAACCCACGAAGCTGCTTCCTTCAACACAAGGTTCCAAACCTCCGCCATAAGGCGCCTCACTTATGACAACTCAGTGGCCATGGTTCCCTTTGGACCTTACTGGAAGTTCATCAGGAAGCTCATCATGAACGACCTTCTCAACGCCACCACCGTCAACAAGTTGAGGCCCTTGAGGACCCAACAGATTCGCAAGTTCCTCAAGGTGATGGCCCAAAGTGCACAGGCTCAACAGCCCCTTAACGTCACCGAGGAGCTTCTCAAGTGGACCAACAGCACCATCTCCATGATGATGTTGGGTGAGGCTGAAGAGATTAGAGATATTGCTCGCGAGGTGCTTAAGATTTTTGGAGAGTACAGTCTCACTGACTTCATCTGGCCCTTGAAGAAGCTCAAGTTTGGACAGTATGAGAAGAGGATTGATGAAATATTCAACAAGTTCGACCCTGTCATCGAGAGGGTTATCAAGAAGCGCCGAGAGATCATGAGAAGGAGAAAGAACGGAGAAGTTGTTGAGGAAGAACAGAGCGGGGTTTTCCTAGACACTTTGCTTGAATTCGCTGAGGACGAGACCATGGAGATCAAAATTACCAAGGAACAAATCAAGGGTCTTATTGTCGTAAGTTTCATACTTCCTTTTTCTTGGTCGGCTTCATTATATATATTTAATAATAAATATCAAAATCAAAATCAAAATCAAACTAAACTATCCTAGGGATAAGTCTCTAGAAAGTGTTGAAGTATTTAATGAAGGAATTGTTAATGCTATACTCAATAATTGTGATTGTTATTATAGTATTAAATGACCGAAATAGATCTTTATAAGGTGGCAGTGGGACATGCATTGTATATATAAAGACCAAAAGTATATATTTTATTGAACAAGAGGGAAGTTAAATGGTTTTATATGTCAAGTGGCAACTAATACGAATACACAATCGTTTGTGTGTGTAGGACTTCTTCTCGGCAGGGACAGATTCCACAGCCGTGGCAACAGAGTGGGCTTTGGCAGAGCTGATCAACAACCCTAAAGTGTTGCAAAAGGCTCGGGAGGAGGTGTACAGTGTTGTGGGAAAAGATAGAGTTGTTGATGAAGTTGACACTCAAAACCTCCCCTACATTAGGGCCATTGTGAAGGAGACATTCCGCATGCACCCACCACTCCCTGTGGTGAAAAGAAAGTGTGTGGAAGAGTGTGAGATTGATGGGTGTGTGATCCCAGAGGGAGCATTGATACTTTTCAATGTGTGGGCTGTAGGAAGAGACCCTAAATACTGGGACAGACCATTGGAATTTCGTCCTGAGAGATTCTTAGAAACTGGAGCTGAAGGGGAAGCTGGCCCTCTTGATCTAAGGGGGCAGCATTTTCAACTTCTCCCATTTGGGTCAGGTAGAAGAATGTGCCCTGGAGTGAATTTGGCTACTTCTGGAATGGCAACACTTCTTGCATCTGTTATCCAGTGCTTTGACCTGCAAGTGGTGGGCCCGCAAGGACAAATATTGAAAGGAAAAGACGCCAAAGTGAGCATGGAAGAGAGAGCTGGCCTCACTGTTCCAAGGGCACACAATCTGGAGTGTGTTCCAGTTGCAAGGATTAGCGTTGCATCAAAACTCCTTTCCTAGTTCATAACATATATACGACAATAGTGTCTTGCCACGCTTGCAGTTTCTTTTGTGTTTAATAATAATAATTTCAATAAGGTGTCTCTGATACTTAATGAAGTATAAGGACACATATATTCACATGCATGTAACATCCACTCCACTTTGTCTGTTTGGTACCAATGTCGTGTAGAAATTTTGGATAATAAGTCAATTTTTTTGGAGAAACTTATAATGTACTATATTTATATTATCAGTCCCTTGTAATAAATAATATTTTAACTGTTTGAATTGCAATTTTTTTTATTAAAATAATCAAGTAATTTCGATCTTTTCTTCTCAATAGATAAGATATAAGACATAAGGTAGTTTAACATTGTTGATTTTTAGTAAGATTTAAATAATTTTAACTTTAAAACTTTTCTCCATGGAAACTACAGTTGCTACTATTGCTATAAGTAATGAAAAAATCGTGTTGATCTTTAAATGAAATAATTCAAAAAGAAAAAAAGGAAGATTGTGTAAACTTCAAACCTGTTCCTACAGGGCGGGATTCTCCGATTTCCACTTAAAACAATATCCAATCTTCTCTTTAAAGATTCACTCCAATTTTCCGACACTCAGTTGAAGAATAGGTAACATAATAATAACATAAAATTTTATGAATAGTGCATATTTTGAAATTGTATTCTATTTATGGTATTCTGAATAAATATTTTACTTGATAGACCTTATCTTTGATGATATTTAATTGCAGTTAACTTTAATTGTTCGATTATCTATATTAATTTAGCTTATTTAACTAACTCTAATTAGGTATTGTGATCCTTTTGATAAGATTATGTGTGATTGGACTTCATTATGAGTGAAAATTGTTGGATGTAATACATTGCTCACTAGTAATTAATTATATTCTATGTTAGAGGGGGAGAAAAGGGGTCATGACCACCCCAAACTTTAGTAATTTTTTTGAGTACTATGAATAAAAAACAAATATTGGTCTCCCGTGATGTATTATCCCACGATATGTTATAACTTCTCTCTATTATATATTATCGAGCCACTTCCGTCAAATATAATGCAACCCACTTTTTTAATTTTTTTATTAAAAAATAAATAAAAGACTCAGTTTGTTTGACAAATTTGTTATCTTCTCTCTCTTCAAAACAAAGAACACTTGTTTTGTTTCCTCCTCGTACTAAAAAACTTTAATCTCTCACATTTCAAAACTCAACCATTACACACGAAGGAACAAAAATCTTCTTCGTTGGTTGGCTTTGGTCCACCATTTGTCTCTTTCAATTCAACTTCATAGTTTACATTTTTATTTATTGCATACTTCCATTTTTATACTGCTTCTTACTTTCTCTATGTCTTGTTTTTCTTCCTTTTTTATACAAAAAAAACGTAACTTGTCATAGGGAATACGTGGGGTTATGTTGGGCAAACAAGACAATATTTTAATTTTATTTCTATTTGTATTATTATAGGTTATTAGAAAATTTGGAGTTGAATTCCTCAAATTGGAGCTCAATTCCTCAAATTTTGTTTCTATATTTTTTTATTTCCACTAGGTTAAAAGATGCATAAGAAAAAAACAATTGATTCTTTTTTTAAAAGAAAAGAAAGAGATGAAGAAGAAACACAACCTGGTAATGTTCAAAGAGTTGTTGATGTTAAAAAACCAAGAGTGTCAACAATAGAGCAACTTGTCCAACCACATAGGTCTAAGTCTTTAAGGATTAAGGAAATAGTTAATATTGATACTTTAATTCGTGATCCTGGAAAATGTCCACCAATTTAGAATTATCCTATTAATCAACAGGATGAAATTCGTAAGACATATATAAAGTTTGGTCCATATTAGTTTTTAATTGATGTGTATCCACTTTCTGGTGATGAAAATCATCCTCGCCGTTTTCAATCACATTGGTTTAAAAGATTTCCTTGGTTGGAGTATTCACCTGAAAAAGATGTAGTCTTTTGCTTTCCATGCTATTTATTTTCTAAAAAATCAAGTCCATTCATTACAAAAGGGTTTAGGCATTGGAAAAAAGTGAATAGTGGTAATGATTGTCCATTTTTATCTCATATGGGAAGAAGTCCTAATTCACCTCATAATGTTGCTCTCAAATCTTGTGAAGATTTTAAAAATCAATCTTGTCATATTGATAAATTGCTATGTAAGAAAACTTCATAACAAGTTTTGAATAATCGATTGCGTCTTAAAGCCTCAGTGGATGTTGTTAGATGGTTGACATTTCAAGCTTATGCTTTTAGAGGGCATGATGAAAGCATGAGATCTAGAAATCAAGGTATTTTTCTTGAAGTTGTAAAGCTTTTGGCTTGTTATAATAAAGAAGTAGATGAATTTGTTTTGAGAAATGTCCCTCAAAATGCAAAATACACTTCACCTACAATTCAAAAAGAGATTTTGCAAGTGTTTGCAAGGAAGGTGCAAAATGAAATAAGACAAGAGATTGGTGATGCAAAATTTTGTTTGATTGTTGATGAAGCTCGTGATGAATCTAAGAGAGAACAAATGATGCTTCTTATTAGATTTGTTGACAAAAATGGTTATATCAGAGAATGGTTATTGGATATGATACATGTGAGAGACACTACATCATCCACTCTTAAAAATGGGATTTGTTTAATATTATCTCATCATAATCTTAACATTCAAAATATTCGGGGCCAAGGATATGATGGAGCTAGAATATGAATGGGGAATGGAATGGTTTACAAGCTTTGATCCTTCAAGAATGTCCTTATGCATACTGTGTACAGTGTTTGGCTCATCAATTACAATTAGCTCTTGTTGCTTTCACTACAACAAAAACATCAAATAGTGACCGAATTTTCGGTCACTAAATGATCAAAATCGGTCACTAACTAAAATAGTGATCGAAATAGTAACCAAAATAGTAACCAACCCAAATCGGTCACTATTTCCTTGGTCGCTCATTTCAGTTCAGTGACCAATTGAGTTAGTCACTATATCGGTCCAGTACCTTAGAGTTAGAGACTGATACTCCAACCACTTAGCTACTAGGAATTTTTGATAATAGTTTATAAATAAATTATATTTATATACAAATAAAAATATATAAATAATATATATATATATATATATATATATATATATGTTGGATGTGAGGGCGCGCTCGAGGGTGAAAGTGTGTCGAGTAGATTTTTAAAATTTGATGTCAAATTTGTGAGCGGGTCTCTTTATATGAGTTTATAATTTAATGACACAATATAATCTTTATAATTTATTTATATAATGATATAAAATAATTTTTTTCTTTATTTATTTTTATTTTATTTTAATTTATTCTTCTTATATTTTTTTCTTCTATTATTTAATTAAAATTCTTATATTAAAATAATTTTTTCAATATTAAAAATAATTAAATATTTATTTTTAAAATTATTTAATTTAACAAATTATTATAAATTAATCAAATTATGATTATTAATAGAATAATTTTTTTCCTAACATGTATTATTATAAATTAATCAAAATCATCTTTTAATAATTATTTTTTCCAGACATAGATTAATTCATAATAATTTGTTAAATTAAATAATTTTAAAAATTAATTTTAAAAATAAATATTTAATTATTTTTAATAATGAAAAATTATTTTAATATAAGAATTTTAATTAAATAATAGAAGAAAAAAAAGATAAAAAGAATAAAATAAAATAAAATAAAAATAAATAAAGAAAATAATTATTTTATATCATTATATAAATAAATTATAAAGATTATATTCTATCATTAAATTACAAATCCATATAAAGAGACTCGCTCACAAATTTGACATCAAATTTTGAAAACTCACTCGACACACACTTTCACTCACTAGCGTGATCCTCACATCGAACATATAAATATATCAAAATATATAAATATATTTGTATTTATATATTTTATGTTTATATATTTACAGGGATATATATTTATTTGTACATAAATATAATTTATTTGTAAATTTTTATTAAAAAATTCTAACAGTTTAGTGGTTGGAGTATTAATATCTAATTCTAAGGTACTAGTTTTGAATCTTATTAGTAATAATTTTCATAATTTGATTAAAAAAAATTGTTAATAAGAGAAATTATATATTTTTGTGGAAATTAGAGCAATTAAATTGTTGTTATGGACTAAAACTCAAAAAGTAAAAAATATAATTAAATAAAAGAAAAACTATATATTTTTGCATTTTTATTTTCAAATATTAGTTTTTTTATGAAATTATTTTTAATTAAAGTAATTAAAGTGATATATATATTTATTAAATTAAAATTCTTTATTTTAATTAATTATTTTGATTTTTTTAACAATTTTTTTTAAATAAAAATGATAAAACTTAAAATTAATTTCTAACTAAATCTTCAGAATTAATAGTATATTATATTATTATGTTTAATTAAATTTTAAAATAAGTTCACTTAATCTTTACACTTTTATAAAAATACTAATATAAACTTAAAATATTTATCCAATTACTAAATTATTTAAAATATTAATATAAATTTGAAATATCAATTCAATAATTAAAATAATTTTAATTTTTTTATAAATACATTGAAATACATTTTTATTAACATAAAAGTAATATATATATATATATATATATATATATATATATATATACAAAAAGAGACTAAATTAATAATTAATTTAATCATTATTATATATATAAAAGAGATTAAATTAATAATTATTTTAATGATTGAATCGGTGACTAATTTAATAATTAATTTTAATTTTTTTATTTACATACTAAATTAAAAAATAAAATAAAATAATTATATTACTAAATTATTTAATAAGTTAATAAACTATTTTTAAATTTTTTATAATGTTATTAAATTTTTTATCAATTATTTTAAATTATTAAGTAGATTTATATTTAATATATTTTTAAAATTTTTTTAAAAATTATTTATATAAATAAAAAATGGTCACTAATTTATATATTATTTGTTTAGTAACTGAAATTTTAGTC